CCCAAGCACAGGTACTGTAACACGTCTTAAACAGTCAGTTGACTTGATACCAGCTCTCCAGCAATCAGACTATGTAAATGACTTCACTAAAGTGAAAAACGGCTTTTGTGGCAGACTGGCAGTGTCCAGAAATTACTTGCACTACAAATAAACAGATAAAATTTGTCCCAGATACTTTAAGGATCTATTTGCAAATTTTTTTAAAAAAAATGATTTTTATTTAAAAAACACTCCTTCCCCCAGCACTTCCATAATTTTACTTGGTGAAGTTTTCCTTTTTCATTAGGTGAGTGTTATTCATAGCCAAAAATGAGACTAAGAAAATGAAACCAAAGTGAAACTGACTCTGAACAGCATCTAAAGCAGTTATTACATAAAGCAGTTGCAAAAGTGATTTTATCCAAGAGCCAAGTTACATTGTCTCATTACCTGCATCTATTTCGGCTCATTTCAACATGCTAGATTTCACATATGGTGACCTAATTTTAATGCTTAACTGAATACCTTTAAATAGTGATGAAACTCCTAAGAAAGTCTTTGGAGTCAAAAATACTGACAAGACTGATTCAAGAGAGTGTAAATAAGCCTTCAGCAAGGAACTGGAGTTAGATACCTAGTAAATCTGGAGATAAGTGATCTCCCCCCTCGCATCCCTCAGATGGAAAGACTGAGGAGTTACAGGTCATTGGACTTCCTAGGGCGGAGAGACACTCTGAACTGTTATTACCAATTCTGTCCAGTAGTTTGGTTTTAATGGTTAAAGGTGGACATATATCCTATTAAATTCCTATTTTTATGTTCACCAGAATATAATAAAACACTCTCCATTATGAATCAGCTCTTATTTCTTCCTGACTAATCCAAATCATTTTATTCAATTACTGTCTTATCTTCCAAGAGTGTTAATCCTGCACACAGAAGCTTGACACTACTGTTCCTCCATAGTAAAACTTGCATGATTACAGAAAAGTAACTTATCCAAAAATGTAGGTGTTATATTTAAGACTACAAAAGCTGTCTTGTTCTCTGTAGCATTGTTTCTACTTAGATAACTTTTCCTCTATTCCTTTAAAGCAACTCTAAGCAAATTGGAAAGATTAACTAATTTCAGTTAAGCAGTATTTGTACAATGGGATTAAAAACTTAGCAGTTGTACTTATTTATTCCATTCTCAGAAAAGATAAGCCTCTCTGACTTCTTTACCATCTCTCCAACCACACAAGTCAATGTAATGGATTCCTCAATATAAAGATTAGGAGATAAAAATATTAGTGAATCCTCTTTATCAAAGGACAGTTACATAATTAGGTTACAGGTTATTGTTTTTATATCTATATTTTAACAATGACAAAAAAGTAGAAGATCACTCCTCCCGCCTTCCCATGACTGTTTATTACAGACTCCTCAAACCTTTTTGGCAACTTTTTTTTTTTTCTAGATTTCCCTGTTAATTTAACTGCCTTGGCAAACAGTCCAGAAGGAACGAGGTGACTACTTCAGCATACTCAAACAATAAAGCCTTATAATTCACCTTACAGAGTATTTTTAATTATATTTGTAGTGTGAGGTAGGAAATAATGCCAAAAGCATGAGCAAAAAACAGATCTTTTCCTTACTTTATGACTAGCTAGACATGAAAAAGCTATCAGTCTTAAGACCTTTTCAAAGAATGTAAGTTATCAGACTTGGAATCTTTTCCTTTCAAAATCCATCTTGCTGAGATTAGGTGTTGATCAGTTGAAGCAAAGACCTGGCATATATCAGGCTCGTACCATTAACTCATTCACACAGCTCAAAATAGATGAGCTCAAGGTACAAGACATAGAAGATAAATAT